TTCCCTTTCTCTTCCCTTCCTCCCCCGGCCGGGAGACAAAACCCGGCTGACAAGATGGAGGCCAGGCCATCAATCAAGGCGGCCGCTGGAACCACCTCTCCCCCCGCTAATGAATCCCCTTCCCGGCCTGCTGCCACGGCACCCCGGCACGGCCACCCCGGCGTGGCTGTGTGTCCCCTGGCGTGGCTGTCCCCCCTCGGTCACCCGCATCATCTCCCCCATGGACTTGGGGTCCCAGCTGGGGTGGGGACAGAGCAAGGGGGACAGGGTGACCCGCGTACGGGGTGGCAGGGTTTGGGGGTGGCGTGGGATTTGGGGTGACAAGGGCTTGGGGGTGGCATAGTTCGGGGACCCAGACTGGCAGGATTCGGGGTGCAGGGTGGCACGGATGCAGGTTGCCAGGATTTCGGGGGCTCATGGCTGTGGGGTCAGCGTGGGTTTGGGGGGGTTGATGTGGCCGTGGGGGTTGCATGGGGGTGGCAGAGCTGCAGGGTGCTGTGGGGCCGGCCAGGGGGGACGGGGGGCTGGTGGCCCCAGCCCTGTCTCTCCCGGGGAAGCCCCCTGGTCCGGTCAGTCCCCATGGGCCCTGTCCCCCCGTGAGGGGCTCGGGGCCCCCCCAGCCCCGTGGTCCCCGGGGAGTGAAGCCCTTTGTCCCCGGGCCCATCGCCTGCTGCGGCGCCTTTGTCCCCGTGTCACTTGGGGGGCACCAGCTGTCATGGCCGGGGACCACGGGGCCTTCGCGCTCCTCCTCCTCCTCTTTGTTCTCTGCTCCCGTGCTGAGGGCTGCCTGGGATGGGGAGGGAGGGGGGACCCGGGGTCACCTCCCCAAGGGGCAGCTGGGGGCACACAGCCCCCCCCCCCACGGGGCCCCCCCCCCTGCAGCCTGAGCACCCACGGGGAGCAGACGGGGACGTGGGGTGGGTTTCGGGGTGGGTTTCGTGCCCTGCCCCATCCAGCCCTGGCTTGGGGTGCCTCTGGTTTGGGGGGTTCCCTGGGGCTGGGGGGCCCCAGGGGGGGGGAAGCCACCACCTGC